TACAGTGCGTTGACTTCACCAACTCGCAGCATGTGCACACTTTTGTGTAAATCACTCTCTTTTACAGTCTCTGCGTGTGGGAATGCAGTAAAGAGTGAGGGATAAGAAATGCAATGCGACCCACGTCTGGCTCTCGTAGAATGGCTCGAATTTAAACCTTTGAGCGAAAAGACCATTTTGAGACACTGAGACACATGTGTTTGCACATAAATTACCATGTATGCATGCATACGCACGCACAGGCAACAAACAAAAAACACACCCAAGGATGGTGAGTGTTAACTACGCATGCAAGCTCGCATCCACTTAGACATTCGCTCACACACATAAATAAGCACTGTTTTACAAGCACACACACACACACACACACACACACACACACACACATCTGCCATTGCAATTCACATGATCATTGCCTTTATGTGAATGAGACAGGGAATTGCAGAATGGCAGAAGCGGAGGCCTCATATTAGCCGTGCTGTCAGAGCCGGTGAGCAAAGGATAACATTAACATGAGCGCTGCTGCTCCCCCTGTGTGCATCAACGCCAGAGCTCAGTAGGTGCACGGCCGTAAGCAGTGTCCGCCAGCCTTTTCGTTAAGTCAATGATAAACTGCTTTTATTAGTTACCTTTTTACAGCGTGCTTTCGCTGAGAGTTGAGGTTTCTTTGTCAATACTGGCAATAATGCAGCCTCCAATTAACTTATAAAACCTTCCCGGACTCCTTTGTCACTCCTTTGAGAAGGGAAAACGGCCAAGGTTTGGCTCACTAAAAAAAACAAATGACAGCCTACAAAACAAATGTGGCACTACAATCGGGTATTAAAAGGCTTGACATTTACCATGCCTCATTTAAATGGTCGCCCGTACTCAGCTCATTGGCAGCCCCCCATTACACTGGGTAGAGCAGGAGTGCGAAGGCCGGGGCTGGGCCGGGCAGAGAGAGTGGGGCGAGACGTTAACGGCCTGTGGGAGGATAGTTCTGTAGATGAATGAACACCTGGATTAATGGGGTCATTGAGCACCAAGCTGCTGAGAAAGGAGAATCCCAGCCAAGGCAGCCATTTTACTTTTACTGCATGTGTCATGGACCGTTTTCCTCTGCTGGTTTTAGAGGGGGCAGCAGCAGGGTCCCATGGGGTACAAGAGAGCAAAGAAAGGACATTTTGGACCAGAGTACTTTTGTATTGGACATGAGCAGTAGGGGCGCTGGTTATACAGTTCTGATTTCATGAACCCAAGAGCATTTTAGTGATGCATCCAGATTTCTTCAATTTCTTCAGTTCTGATTTCATGAACCCAAGAGCATTTTAGTGATGCATCCAGATTTCTTCAATTTCTTCAGTTCTGATTTCATGAACCCATGAGCATTTTAGTGATGCATCCAGATTTCTTCAATTTCTTCAGTTCTGATTTCATGAACCCAAGAGCATTTTAGTGATGCATCCAGATTTCTTCAATTATGAAGAAAAATAGAAAAGTAATGAATTGATCTGGAAGTGAACGCACCTGAACCTTCCTAAAGTTCTATCATTGTGAAAAGATTTACCGTCTTCACATTCGCACCTGTGTCTTGGTCGTGATATTTTAACAAATCACTTAACAAAATACGCACTTTTGTCTTTTGGGAATACCGTTCTAATAGAAAACCTCGACTCCTCTGAGAAAGTGATTTCCAACGTGAGCTAAACAGGGAAGGTGCCGGCCCTTTAAACTGAGCTCCGAGAGCTTGGCAGGCTAATAGATGCAGTCTAAAGGTGCTCGTGGATGGCAACCAGAAAAAAATGGTCTTATCTGAAAAGGTCCAGGACAGTTATAAATGAAATAATGGGGCTGAGCACATTAATCCATGTTCATGCCTTAGGGGGAGACCTCGGCTTACCATTTGATCTGTGTGTGAGTGCATGTATACAGATCTGTGTGTGTGTGTGTGTGTGTGTGTGTGCATGTATATTTGCATTTGCAAGTTACTAATCCATTTCATTCATTTGTTCCCCTCCTTCAATCATTTTCTTTTAAAATAAACAGCAATTGTTTCATTACACTTTCGAACTTGCCTTTACTCAGTCCATGAAAAAAAGGAAAGAGAGGGAGGAGGGTGAAATTGAGTGAGCGATAGAAACAAAGAAGGAAAAGGGGGGGGGGGGGGGATAAGACATTTAAGCATTTTAAGTCCCAATTTTACATGGTTTTTGCAACCATTGAACACTTTAAAATTCAAATCCAAACTGTAATTTGTAGAACATTATAATACCACCAATCAACTGTTTACCCTAAAACAACCATATCTGTTAAAGAAAGAAATATAGTTTCCATTTATAGTCAGCACTGCCACCCACTGGACACAAATAACCTCAGAGCAAGTCAATGGAAGGCTGGGCCTGGTCCCAAAATAGATAATTGTGTATATGTGTCATCCATAAACCAATATCATTTGAATAGGGACTTAAAGGGTCTTAATATTTCCACAGAAATTAATTGATTGTGATCTCACTAGTTTATTGTATTCTTCAATCTACTCTGCTATGGCACAACATTTGATTCTATTTGAGTCCCTAAATTCTCATATTTGGCAAACAAAGAGGTACTCTGCAAATCAGCACTACATTCCCACAACTTAGTCAAAGGCATTGCAGAAAATGAAGAGATATCCTGATTTGTACTTCCTCCTCTGGGTGAAATCACTGGATCCTAAAGCCCAGAACGTAACTAAATTGTGTCCTTTAGCCTGAACAACATTCACATCTTTCAGATTGCAAACAATTTTCCTCTAAAAGCAAATGTTCCCCAAACCCAAACTAAGATTACTGAAGTGATGTGGATGGAGACTGGACAGACTTGATAAAGCTGCTGCAGAGTCCGACAATACATCCTCTGATTTGACATGGGAAATTTACTTTGACACGTTAATATATTCTGCTATCCTTTTCAGCTACAACTAGTAGCTCAGTAAATATTGTCAAAGAATGAACTGCTAAACGTTGCATTACAGAGTTAATCAACACAATCGGACAGAATTATCAATACCTCCATGCTCACTATCTGGGTAATAGGTCAATAGTGATAAATGGTGAAAACTGGATGGATTTAGGATCCACCCAACTAGAATATAACCAGGAATATATATTTCTGAAACTGTGATACTAATTAACACCAGCAATATGACATTGTACTCCATGCATTTAGACTGTTAACAGTAGCCTGCCTTCTACCTATTCTAGTAAAGCAGTGTTGTGTACTGGTACAAGATAATGCCGCCACCCAGTGTTCACAGGGTGAAAACACCATCTTATCAAATGCACACTGTATTTGTGAATGATGGGTTGGGATCAGGCGGCACGGTGGCATGGTGGTTAGCACTGTTGCCTCACAGCAAGAAGGTCCTGGGTTCGATTCCGCCCAGTGGCCTTTCTGTGCGGAGTCTGCATGTTCTCCCTGTGTCTGCGTGGGTTCTCTCTGGGTTCTCCAGCTTCCTGATCCACCTGATCCCCAGAGCGTGTCTTTGGACTGTGGGGGGAAGCCAGAGAACCAAGGGAGAACATGCAGACTCCACACAGAAAGGCCACTGGACAGAGTCAAACCCAGTGAGGCGACAGTGCTAACCACCACACCACCGTGCCGCCCCCTAATGTGAAGTAAGGCAAGTAAGAGTAGACAAAAATAAATTTGGTCAATTTCCTTTGCATTATTATTCAACGGGGGTCAGCCGGTTGCTAGCTGCTAATTAGTATGATCTATATACAAACCCTTACAGCATTAATTGGAACTACATTTCATGATGGCGATAGTGACAACGTGTTCCTCATCTGCATTCCTCTCAAGCTCTATTTTTTCATTCTTCTTTCTCTTTTTACTTTCCATGGGTACAAAACGGGACGTATGTGTCAACTGGGTCCTGTTGAAACAGCTAAAAGCAATGTTTTAGCTTTGTAGACACATAACACGTGTCTTTTTGTGGTTTTCGCATATATATTTCCGATTTGTTGTCCTCACCATTACCTTCAACATCTATAGGAACCTTAGTGAAAGAGGTGTCTTTTTGTGGTTTTCGCATATATATTTCCGATTTGTTGTCCTTACCATTACCTTCAACATCTATAGGAACCTTAGTGAAAGAGGAGTATGATGCTATGACAAAGGGACGAGCTGCACCCTGGCAAAGGTCATGGAGCTGTGCCGTCCATCATCAATTGGCTGAAGGAATGACAAGTTTGGTGTTCGAGAAGAGTTTGCAATGTTTGGGTTAAGAGTCAGGGGTAAGTGGAGCAAATGCAAATAAAAAGTGCTTGTGCATTCAAATATGTGCTATTCAAATGCCTTTAAACTGAGCTCACCAACTCCATGTATTTAAATATCTCTACAGATTTGAAGCAAACACAATGTTGCTATTTAACTCCTCTGTACCTGCATGTGGCAAACTGGGGTCGAACTTTCAGAAAGAACCCTTTGTACCGCTTCTGGAGTTAAGACTCTGCCTCTTAATCAGTCAGCCATGTACATTAACCGTGGTCCAATGCAATGACACAAAGGCTCTTTGCCTTTAAAAAGAAGAAGGCTATTCATACATAGGAAATGTCAATAAAAAATGTGCACATTTTTACACAAACTGACCATTGAAAAACTTGGAAGGACTTGAAGAAGGGGAACAACAAAAATCCCCTATTTTCCAGTTAGCTCGTGGCTAGCCAGCAGATCAAAGCTAGGATAATCCAAGCCCGTGATGGCCTGGCTACTTGAAAATTAACCTAAATTTGAGCGTGAACACCAATAGGACGTCGTGTTTGACAAAGGAGTGGGCCGGTGTGAGTTACAGGGAAGGAGGACGGGAGTGGAGGAGAAAAGGAAAGACATGAGGGTGTGAGAGAGGTGAAGACACGGCAGGAGTCCGAGTGTGTACTGGAGAAGGTGAGGGAGGAGGGGAGGTTTGTGGTTGGCACAGTGGCATGTGACGTCAGCGGCTTGTTGGATTGAGGTGCTCTGTCCTGCTGATTTTAATCCTAAATCATTAAGGAACCGAGAGCCAGTGCCTGTGCAAGCCCTCTGGGGGGGGAGGGGAAAGTGACGGGAGAAGAAAATTTACAGCTTGAGACACAAAAGAGGGAAGCTTTTTGTTTTCGCTTCTCAGGTTCATGCCTACTTTGCCTCATTTCCTTTTCTTCTAAATATTTTCACTTGCAATCGAAACGCGTGGCCCGTTCCAACATGCCGACCAACGGAATAAATAAGGCCCTGAAACTGCAATTTGGGCTCGTCAACTACGAGAGCCGCTACCTGACGGCCGAGGCTTTCGGCTTCAAGGTGAACGCCTCAGGTGTCAGCATGAAGAAGAAGCAGATCTGGACCTTGGAGCAGGACGAGCAAGACGGCCAAGTGGTGTTCCTCCGCAGCCACCTGGGCCGCTATCTGGCCTCCAACAAAGATGGAAAGATCACATGCGGGGCAGAGAAGCCCGACAACGACTGCCGTTTCCTCATCGTGCCTCAATCCGACGGCCGCTGGGCACTGCAGTCGGAGCCCTACCTGCGTTACTTCGGAGGCTCGGCCGACTACCTGTCCTGCTTTGCCCAAGTCATCGGGGAACAAGAGCTCTGGGCCGTCCACTTGGCTTTGCACCCGCAAGCCAGTCTGCTCAGCGTGGCGCGCAAGCGCTACGCCCATCTGTCCGCTTCGGACGGAGAGATCTCGGTGGATAGCAACATTCCTTGGGGGGTGGACTCTCTGGTCACCTTGGTGTACCTCGATGGCAAATACTGCCTGAAGACCTGCGACAGCCGCTTCCTCAGCAACGACGGCAAACTGGTGAAGGAGAACAGCAACAACACCAGCTTCACGCTGGAGCTGAAGTCTGGGAAGTTGGCTTTCAAGGACTGTGGTGGGAAATACCTGACCCCAGTGGGTCCCACGGGGACGCTGCGATCTGGCCGATGCTCCAAGCCTGGAAAGGACGAGCTGTTTGATCTCGAGGAGAGTCATCCACAGGTGGTTTTTCAGGCTGCCAATAAAAGATACGTCTCGGTCAAGCAAGGTAATCAGTCTAAAAATGAATAAATACATTATTAGCTTTGTATAGAAAACGGATTGGATTGCTGCGCCTTAAATCTATTCAAAATGAAGCGAACGAAAAGTGTCTACTTAGTCATGAATGGGAATAAGAACAATGGGGCGAACATGTGAGCTAAATATAGCTAGAACTCCTCAGAGAGGCTCCCTGCTGAGTTTGCACATGGGAAACAAAAGAGGTACGACATTCTTGACTGATACGGGAAATCACTTTCCTCGTGCTCTTTACAAATAGCTGCACCTGAGACTGGGTGACAGCATTTTTAGATACTTTACAGCGCAGCGTACTATATATTTTACTTTAAATTACAGTGTATAACTTAATATTACAATCCATAGTCCTTTTAGATTTTTCTCTACATTAAACTGAATAGTAATGAGGAATTCTTGTCAACATGGAAAGAGGTGCATTTGTTTGATTGAGTGTACAATTACAATACAGTAATCGAAAGGCAAAATCAGCATCATTAACCAGGTAATGAAGGAAAGCTCTTCCTTTCATGTCTGACTTGCTGGATCCAGATTTGTTGACAGCCACACTGTGGTGGTAATTGTGGTAATGGGCTTTGTCATTTCCACTGCGTGTCCATTGAAGCTTAAGCGGCGTACAAATAACTTAAGGGCAGAACCGCGCCCCACAGTTGCCAATTACCGTCAACGGACTTTAAGCCTCGGCTATTCACCCTTTACCCTCCACCATCGAGGGAAGTTCTCCAAATCGGGTGGATCTGTGGTCAGCCAGTGTTTTAGTGAGGTGGCCGTTGAACCGAGTTGCAGCCAGGCCTTACAAGTCAGATTACTTTACAAAGTCTCCTGTCAACCTGCATGATTCAAACGTACCGTATAATTATTGAAGCAAAGAATTTGAGCAAATTGTGTGCTGTTTAATTAAAACGCGGCCTTATTTAATTTAGCTGCTCAATGCAAATACAGGACTGTAAACATTGGAAACTTCAAACTGTTGTTTATGCATGAATACAATTTAGTGTCAAAATACAGTAACAACCTACCACGCTATTCTCATAATATAGGGACACTGATTGCACTTTTTACTGTAGTGTTTGGCCTTGTGGTGGTTCCATGTTGTTTCAAGGAACAAGGCACTGAAAGCTGCTTAGTAGGCCCTGCAGTGCAGATTTGCATTTCACCACTCAGGGAATTACAGCAAGCGATGAACAGGGAGGGTGGCGGGGTGACTGTGGGGGATTAGAGTTGTAACGAGCTTAAGACAAAGGTTGAAGGACATTTCTGTGGCATCTAGTTTGAACCACAGCAGACACAGTTCAGCTATTGACTACACGACTATCGCCTGACACACCAGCAACCGTCAATGCATGTAGATTGAGTGAATAACTTGGCTAGATCAAAGTTAAGCACTGAGGTTAAGTGAATAGCACACTGACTGACTGAGTGAATAGATGGGCACAGATAGACATTTTGAAGGTTATTCTGTCAGGTTAAGCTTTACTTGCACACTTGTTTTTCACATTAAAATTGATGGTCTGATTGATATAATGAGACAAAGCTCACAGATGGCCAGAAAACAGGTTGCTTCTTTACAATGATCCTCTGCACAAACCTAAAAAGGTGAATGTAAACCGATATGGACGTGAGTTCATAGTGAGAAAAAATGAGGCAATGATCCACTTCTACAATAAAACCTGAGGAAAGTCTTTGATTTTCTATCATGGAGCAAATTTATTTATCAGACCCTTTAAAATCTACCAGTATTTCAGGCTATTTAAGTAAGTTCAGTGAATTTAGGAAACCTATCTTTCCTTAAACTATAATATATCCAAAGATTAAAAGTCAGCAAACATTGCAATCTCCAAATGTGTCTGAATAACCACTAAATCCGCCAGCGTGTTACCATAAAGCACGGTTCAATAAGTGGGATTAATATCCCTAAACACGTGAAAGTCACTGAGTATCTGATCAATGAGTCATCCAACATTTACTATTATACTTGGACACCTTGGATTATGAAAGATGAAGCTGTGCAGCAGCAGCCTTAGAGAAACACCTTGCAATCACCCAACATAAATCAATGTATGTTGAAGTCATATCAACCGAGGAATGCATGAACACCATCAATGTTGAACCGTGCACCAAAACATCTCTTTGGCGATGCATAAGAGAGTAAATTGCATTTAAGAGGATAAAACATTACAATACAGTTTTTACCTTGAATAAACTATTGGTGTATGTTCCTCCCTTACCACCAGGAGTGAGTATTTCAGCCAATCAAGATGTGGAGACAGACATGGAGACCTTCCAGATGGAGATTGACAAGGAAAGCAAAAGGTCTATGTTCAGGACCAATGGTGGATCGTACTGGACTCTGGTGACTCACGGAGAGATCCAGTCTACTGCCACAGAAGTGTGAGTAGCTCACAGCTTTCACTGAGGAGCTTTTCCTCTGTGTTCTAACCTTCCTGCCAATAAAACCCGTGCGTGCTTTTGTTCCCAGCAAGATCAACACAATGTTTGACATTGAGTGGCGAGGGCAGAGGGTGGCGCTCAAAGCAAGCAATGGAAAGTATGTTTGTACCAAGAAGAACGGGCAGCTGTCCGCGGTCAGCGATACAGTGGGTAAGAGCTTACTGGCAAGCCTCTTCCAGGACTGTGCCCCCGCTGAGCCGTGCAACAGAGAAAAGGAGAACGCCATGTCTTCCTCGTTGCAGGTGACGATGAATTGTTCCTGATGAAACTCATCAACCGCCCCATGCTGATCCTTCGCGGCGAGACGGGCTTCGTGTGTCACCACAAGAACTCCAACACTCTGAACGCGAATCGATCCGTCTACGACATCTTCTCATTGATCTTCAACGATGGTGCCTACAATATAAAAAGTGAGGGTTTTTTTTCACACGTGCACGTCACCACATTTCTGCATAACGCAATCATATATATACATACACATGTTTAAAATAGATATCTAGCATCTACTGAAGCAATTCCAACATGTAGCAAACACATGAGCCACTGTTGTGCTCCTGCAGGTGTGAATGGAAAGTTCTGGTACGTCTCAAGCGGTGACCTCGTGTGCTCGGACGGGGAAAAGCCAGAGGACTTCTTCCTTGAGTTCCTGGAGCATGGACGCGTCGCTATCAAAAGCTCTGATGGCAAGTACCTCCGTGGAGACCAGGGAGGTACGCTCATGGGTGACGGTACAACTGTTGACGCGTCTTCTCTCTGGGAGTATTGATCGGGCTCCTCAAAAGAGAAGCAAAGAGTGAGGTGCAGGACCTGCTTCAGCTCAGATGAAGGGGACTGAACGGGTAATATTGTCCTGACTGTTTTTATACAAGCTGCCAGGTGCCCAATCTCAATCTTTTTTTTTTTATTGGGAAGTTTATTGGGAACACACAGCTCAAGATGTGTTTTTTACAGTCTATGTTAAATGTTGTGTTTTTTAAATGACAATGCCAACATCAATCGACACATATTGTGTGATATCACAAAAACAGATTTCCTTCAGACGAACGTTGTAGGTACAATACAAGGTCAAGGAACAACCAAATATCTCTGAGGGCAGCCATACTGATCCTTGCAAACAAAATCAGTGTCGCTGCCCAACTGGTACGTGAGGGGCAACTAGATTATCTGCCATCGTTTAATTTCTCTAGCTAAGTAGAACAAATGACTTCAAAATCGGACAATGTAGAAATAAACTTATTTTGGTTCACGTGACTAGAACTTCATCAACAACCTTTATCGGGATATTTATATAACCTGGATGCCACTACTTATCCCACTGGGTTTGTTTACAGATTTCTAATGAGTTCAATACGTTGATATATTCTATTGATCATCATTGGCGTCACCGTGAGCAAAGGTAATGCACCGATGGCTGGTGCCAATGATGTTTTCATTTATCTCAATAAAGCATGTACAGTTTCCACAAAAGCACCGATGTGAAGTAGGTGAGATAGAGTACTGTGTCAGACACCTCTGCAATGCTCAACGGTATTAATAATTGCAAACACTGAAATAGTTTTTTGTGTACCACATAGAAATACTGAGTCGGGACATGTTCAGGGACGGACGTCAGCACAGATGTTGTATACATGCTGATATATATATATATATATATATATATATATATATATATATATATCAGGGCAAATTTAGAGCAATTTGATGATTTATACATAATTTCATAAGTGCTCCTCTGGTGTTCTGCCTAGGGGCCTTTAACAATACTGCACTCTTATACACTGTTCTAATGTCCAGAGTTTGGTGGCAGAGATTAGAAAATATGCTGGATTTGAACTGACAGATTCGGAGAAAGAAAAATGTCTTACTGGAATAAATTCGGCCATTGCAACAGCGACTGCCGTGAAACCCATATCCAACGTGGCAGCGGGCATGTTATGTTTCACTTTGGACAAAGCTGGGGCATCTGCCTTCCCTCCGGCATTGTGCACGGCTCGGCCGAGAACATCCCATTGAAACTGACATGGATCCCCCATCTAATTCGGGAAAAGACGGCAAACAATTATTTCACAAAATGCTCCAGTGTAAAATGAGTAGTATCTTGTTGGCCCTTGTACTGCACAGCGCTTTGAAAGGAGGATGTTCTAGTATTTTTTTCATCTCAGAGGACCCACTGAATTAGTGATCATCAACGTCACACGCCAACCTGACTTTATTGGCACAGATGTTGGTGGGCAGAGAAGAGGACAATCTGACTCCATATACAATTTATCCTGTCGGTTTGTGGCGGTCATCTACCTGGAAGAGAATAAATCTGCAATAGTTTAAGTGTAATGTAATTACAACCTGTGTTTATTCTAAACCTGTGTTTTTGTGATATGTGCAATTTGAAATTAATAGAGAGACATTTTAGAAAGCAAGTTCTAAAAGGCTTGTTCACCAAAGTACAGTATCCTGTCAGCCCCCGGCCATATTTTAGAATGGATTGATTGTTATTGTTTTTTTGTTGTATGATATTTGCTTTCTGATATGAATTTTGAAAATGTTGATAACAATAAAAACATTGACAATATCCATGTTGACTTTAGAATTTGAATTAATTTGTCTGAAGTGTTCCCTGAATTGTCAGTTTAGATTTAAGTTTCTGCCAGATTATTGTAGTGCAACGCCGATAACATATCTTTTCTGTGGCTAAGTAAATGTGAAGTATAATCAAGTCAATATATTAATGGCCATTAAGGATTTTTTTCAGCTCAGTTAGCATGGAGCCAAGCAAACTCAGTGTGTTTTTTTTATAAAAGACATTTTGACTCGGCCAACAGTACATGGACTGCACTTGCACAGCACATTTTTTACCTCAACAGTCAAAGAGTTTTGCATCATGCAAATCATTCACCCATTATTTTCACACCTACACAAATCAGTGGTTACAGAGCTGCCCACTGAAAGCAACGTTGGATTCAGTGCCTTGCTCAGAAACGTAATTTTCCATGCAGTATAGAGACCATTAAACATGGATACAGTCATCCAGTTTATTATTCAATACAGGTGTTCAGCTTTACGAAGAATATAATATAAAAAGAAATAAATAATAACGTAGTTAAAATCCAACCAAAATACAAGAATATACTGCACTTTCTGCAGCTATTTCCCATTAAAAACACAATCCTAGCGGGTCAGCATGCATCCGTACGTTAAAGTCAGACAGGAGACTCTTTAATCAGTGTAATAGTGCTCATAGGCTTTGATTTCAACCCCGCTAGATGGCAGTGTGGACACCTCTTAACTCATTCTCTGCTACTGCTAATAGTCGTTGACAAGTTCTGCAAAAGTAGCAGATCTTGCACCAAACCACAATGCCTGTAAGCAGCTGTCCACACTGGAACCAATCTGACCATAGTTTACACATTTCTGAGGAGAATGTTTTTAACTGGAACTGTCACTTGCCGTACACAATACTGAGAAACAACAATAAAGAGAACAAGACGAGATTTTGCAAAATGAATAGGAAGCATTTTGGGTTTCTAGCCATTAAATTCTCCATCCTATAGTATGCTTAACAAATATAGTATTTCTTTCTAAGAATTTCTGAGGTTTCTTGAAATCTACATAAAAACACACACTCTAAACCCAACACATTCACATGACACTTTGCCTCCTCTTGTGTAATCCTATAATTGCACTGCCTGATGTTTTCTCTGAGCATTAAAGACAGTAATTGCTCTGCTCACAAGCAACGATTGTTAAACACAACTTACAGCTTTTCATTTGGCAGAGCATTTCCAAGGGTCTACATCTGCAATAAAGAGTGCCAAATAATTCAACAAAGAAAAAAGAAACTAGTGTAAGGAGTTTTAAGAAGTTTCTTTTTTCCAAACGAAATTAGCCACCTACTTATACAGGGCAACAAATATTAAAATCTACAAGTGAACCATTTTGTTAGAGTAGTAGCAACATCCTGACAAAACAAGGCTATCAATAATGTATTTAACAACTAAAGACAACCTTGCAAGCCGAAGAGTCCACACAACACACAATTAAAACCGAGCTTAAATAGACCACGTGCCACTTTTAATTAGGATACAAAAACAGCTGAAAAAAACACCAAGCCGTTGAGCCCGTCTCTAGCATCACAGAGAGGAATGCTCATGAGGCTCGACTCCTCTACGCTGCACAGACCTCACGCAACATAGACGAGCCAACTAAAAGCGGAAAAGAAGGGCATCCAACACTGGAGATTTAATATGACGCTCAAAGTAAACATAAATGTTATTCGGTACATACCGGCTGATACAGAGTAGAATTATCTGGGCGCTGTTAGTGACAGATGAATCACCACAATGTGGCATCGAAACAAGTGGACACACACCAACGTGAGTTTGGCCAGAGGGCCGAAGTTTCATCTGTGTCCTTCCTTCTAATGACGCGTCGGCTCATCGCGCTGCTCTGGCCTCTCCTTACTGCCTCCCACAGACTGGATGTCACGTCGCTGGGTGCCTTCGACCTTAATTCTTATAATAAATCTGTGAAAACAGAGCAGATTCGGTTATCTGTTAATTGCATCAGGGTTAGCTCTGCAAACGGTTGCAAAAGCTGTTGAGGCAGAGCAGAGGTCAACCACAAACAAAGTTATATGTTATTTTCTCACTTGGCAAAAGCCAAACAAATCCCTCAGCAAAGATTATGAGTAATAAATTGTGCTTCAAATTCAAGACACATGGTCACTCATGTTGCCAACAATATAAACCAGCTGTTACACTGCGAGCATGAAGCCCCGGGCCTGTAAAATCCTGTATGTTGATTTAATGCAACACATTTTGACTACAGCTTTTAAGCAAATTTGTAAAGTGTTTATATTTGTGTGTAAAGACGTTCAAGGTTATAATATTCATGAACATTACAAAAGATTCCTGTAACACCCAGACTGGGGCATTATGTCACATATTGTTTTCTGTTGCGTGTCTGTCACTCACCTTTCCCTCTCGTTTCAGACACCTCCTCCCTGTGATTGCAAGCCCCACCCTTATTGTTTCCACCTGTGTCTCGTTCTGATGCGTATTTACTTTGTGCCAACAGCCTGCTCTGTGCCAGTTTGTCTCTTTGTTCCCAATGAGCTTACCCGCGATTCTCCTGAGTGCGCCGTCCCGTCCTTTGGCCCTTTCCCGTCCCTCCGTCAACCTTTGCCTGCCGATTTGGATTGATCCACTTTCTCTGTCTGACTGCCCGTGTACCGAACCCCCCCTGAAGTAAAGACTATTTTTGTCTCTGACTACTACGCCTTGAGTCTGCTTTTGAGTCTAAACCCTTGTGGCCCCAGCGGCGTAACAATTCCATACTAAACTGGGCCTCAAAAGTGAAACACATCGCAGCATTTCATTGCTGCTTCAAACCTGAAACAAAGGTTTATGTTGGAATCATTTTCAAATTATCTCCAGCCCCCCACGGACCGCCAAGCCTAAGTGGTATAGAAGACGACCCATTGGGAATTTTTACAAGGAACAATGCAGCAAATGGATTGTCTAAAATGTGCTCAAGCTCATAAACCAAACATAATCCACACCACACGCTCTGATTGTTCCTGCTGCACGTTGGCTTTAGAGGAAAGCTTTCTATTTGAGTTGTTTGATTTTGTGTGTTTACATTTCTGTGGGTCAGTGACGAAATAAAACTGGGGGATGTGGAGAAAAGTTCCATCATTAAACAGAGTTAGTTAGTTAGTAACAGGCCCATCAGAGCATCTCTCTCTGCAACCACTACTCTCATTGTTTACTTCCCTAACGCCCCTATCGGTTTGCAAATGCCCCAACACAACAGATGGTATCTTATCTTTTTTGTAATTGAGCTCAGGTTTGCTGGGCTTTAAACATGCAGCATTATTTAACGAAGCTGCCCACCCACAGGACCCTTCCAATATCCAAAGTGTCTCTCATTGCCTGTGAGTTGTTAAATGGTCCATGACACACAGATGCTAAACCAACATCCTAAATGTTGCAATCACAGTTTTTGTATTTTGCCATTGAAATTAAATTTTGTTTTTATTTGTAATTGTTTACGTCATCGTAGGCAGCTGTTTAATTCACTAGTGCATGTGTGGGCTCGTGATATATATGCACATCTCTAGTTACAGCTGTAGTCTGAAAATACTGTACAATTAAGTTACGGTAAAAGTCAAGTAATCGTCAAACTACTAAACTGTAGCCGGATGCAGACCTGTTTGAATAAAAAAATAAATGTCTAGCAGCTCCAACAAGGAATTTCCGCGATCCTGATTTTATTTTGAAATTCTGCATCACAACTGTGGCGTTTTGTTTTCTGAGCTGGACACATTGGATCGCCACAAGAGCGTCTGCTAATCATCACATGTTCTAGGATCGGTGCACCTTCATCTCGTGTTTTCTTATCTGTTTTTTTCATTTCACCCCCTGCAATTAAACCAATGACGGGGATTACGCGTTTTATGAGCGTGCGTGCGATGGAGAACACCAGCGCGGGGAGCGGACGGCTTTTACGCATCGCGCACCTTTGAGCGTCCATGCAAGACACAGCAACAGCAGGATAGAAAGTGCAAAGACTTGGAGTACCTGCGCTGTGCGTTGCGGACATGAGGTACGGACTGGTGGTCATCGCTGCTGGGTTCACAGGTTTGCTCAGCTTCAGCCTCCTCGCAGTGGCCATCGGAACCGATTACTGGTACATTATCGATGTGAATAAACCCAACGGCACAGGTTCGGCCGACCTGAGCTCGCATTCTGGACTGTGGATGATTAATGAAGGTATATATTCCAACTTAAGCCCACATTTGATAGTAGGCTATGTAGTTTGCATGAGATTTATTATTGTTGTCCTTATTTATTGACCGAGGGTTCTCCATCTCATTCTGCTGCGTTACCATGTGCACTTAGAGCAGCTTTACCGCCATTCATTCTACCCCTCTTCATTGTTTGGGTGGCAAAAATTCATTGCAGTTTCAATTTGAGGTTCCAGATACGTCCAATGCTTAGCCGGTGCCGCCCACAGTAAATGCCATAAGTAATGAGACAGCATGAGATGTGAAGCTCTCAAAGCAGTGCACCTGTGAGATGAAGGTGGAACATGGACTAACACAATTTATGTAGCTGCCATGGCTGCGCTCAGCAGGGACAGCTTTGTTCTGCCCAAAGGGGCAAAACTGTTGTAGTTTATCCTTTAAAGACCTATTCAATTGCATTATTTCGAGCTCGCACGGTGTCGAATTTAACTATTTCTACAATTATTGGATTTTAAAAAATGGCATTGTTGGGAGTCGTTTTCCATTCGTGCAGCTCTGTTCACAGGGTCTTTTCACGTGTAACCTTTTCCCCTGACATTTTCAGGAGCAAACATGAGCTCAGTCATCCCTTTTTTCACGGCGAATATGTCCAGCCTGTCAGAAGTGGAAAGGCATCTTCTTGGTAAGCGTTGTTTGTTTATCAGCTGGCATGGGAGTTAATAATGAGGTGGATTTAAAATTCAAAAAAAGTAATACATCTTATAATAATATTAAATCTCTGCTGACCTACGCAGGTTTTAGAGCTTCATGCGCAATTGACAATGAAATTAGAAAATAGTGCCTCCCTGGATGGTAGAAATCAATCTGCAAACAGCAGCACATCCAGCTAACCTGTCGTTAAAAGGCACGTGGGTGTTTTCAAGTGGGTTTGTGTGAGATATTTATCCACGCGTAGTATATTAAGTTCCATTCAACACGCATCCTGTTTGGAGAAAAACAGCACCAGCGTGGCAGCAAAGCCGAAAAATGGGAATTATTCCCTTTTGCATTTCCGACTATGGATCATTTAAGGTGTTTTATTAAATATCTTTTCAATAATTGTAATATTTTACCCATCATTGAACGCTCCTGGTTTCCAATGGGAAACTCCGCTGTGTCCTGGTGAGTACCGCCAGTTTAAGCTGGTTGAGGCGGATACGATTGGTTGAGGTCAGGTAGTAACCGTGGATATTTAGGGTAAGGATAGCGCTTGTTCTCGACGAGTTTGGGCACCAAGTCAATCCTTCTGCATTCACGTGGGTGTTTAAAAGCAGCGGGATTCGTAAATATGCCTCCAGTGATGGTACACCTGTCGCCCCTCTCCAAACTGAGAGTATGTCGCCCAAAGTCCCCTGCAGGCGATACACTGACAAGGGTCAGAACATCCAAAATATACCAGTACGTTAAAATGTGAAAGCACACTAACCACTGTGTGTTTGTGTCTGCAGGCCTTCACAAGGTGGTGGTCATCCTGTTGCCCCTCAGTCTGGTCCTGCTGCTGTTTGGCTGGATCTTTGCACTTGTCAGCTCGTTGGTCTGCAGTCCCAACCTGCTGGCTAGATCGGCATCCTATGTTCTTTTCTGTAGTGAGTCTATAGGGAAGATCTTTTTTATTTGTTCTGAACCAATGCGACATTTTGAATCCAGGATGTTCTGTTGCAAACCCTTTGCTTTCGCTTGTCAGTGTGTTATATGTTTTGGTCGGGATGGGAAATACGGTCGACAAGTGTGGCCTTCAAATCTTTTACACATAAAGGTACCTTGTTGTGTCTTAGCTAAAGCATAGAAAACCCAGAAAATGTAATTTCTCCTGTTCTTTTTCACACCTGGCAACCGCTTAAATCTTAGTTATTCCTTCTTAGACTGAAGGCGAATAAGAAACCTACAATACCTGTTTTCTAAATATCAAATCTTGCATTTGACTGGGGCAGACTTATCGGCAATAACTCACAGCTACACAATACACTCAAAATCCCATTTCCGTTGAGTTGAGTAAGGTAATGATCTATTTGATCAGACTGTTAATCGAAGTGCAGAAAATAGGATTTTTAAATGATTTAAATTAGAGCAGCTTAGCCTGCTTGGAACTCACAGTAAAAGACTCCCGTCAATCTATTCAATCAGGTTTTTGTGTGAATAGATAACGGATGGATGATTCAACACTGTCAGAGCCGATTATAGTAGTCGTACCATCTGTGAGAGATTTGATATGCTAAATCACATGTTTAACAGCAATTATCAAACAGGGCGACGGCGTAGAGCGCTGTGAATCAAAACAGCTGGTCCTTATGATACACCGACATGTTCTCCGTGGGAAGCGCAGCACTCAGTAGGTTTTGATAGAACTCTATTCAACCCCACACGCACACGAGATTTGACGTGTATTTCTTCGTGGTCTGCTTTCATTTGTGCTTTGTGAAACCAAACCACTAAATGGAAAACCACTGAAAGGCCTTGTTTTTTTTACTCTTATTCAGAACAGCTAAACGGTGTTTGCCCCGTGAGGCGCCCTGCAGCAGGCCGCCAAACATTCTCGCTACGGAAAACGATAACGTGTTCGCAGCATTTGAAGTGATTGCTCTGCAATATAAAGTAGCACAATAAAAGCAGAAGATCTTGTTGTTAATTGATCGATTCAGAGGGGTTTGCAGAAGGAATCTGATGGCGTTCTTTTTGAAATGGAATCCTGGGAAAATATCAATTAAATTCAATCTCCATTGTTCAGTCAAGTTTGTTTTAGGTACTGTGTCTTATCACAGGAATCATGAGCATTTTCCCTCTGAAGCTTCAGCTGTTAGTAGTCACAATGAATGCACGTCCATCAAAGAATGCATTTAAGGTCCAAACTCAAACAGAATGGATTTTAACCTCAGTTAGTTTGATAGTGAATGAATGAATCTTGTACTGCTTATATTTCACCATCTCTCTCTCTGCCTCCAAGGCAGCTAATTTAAATTGCCTGTCTACATCCCTACATTAAAAAAACAAACACCTCAATCTTCCACCTCCAAAACCTCCTCTGATACTCGGGGAAATCGCTCCTGGCACTTACATCCACAATGGGTAAAAGTTAACACTCTATTAAAATTGACACTTATAATCATTCGCACCGTTTTTTTGTTTGTAAGTTAAAGAAGAGGCCAGAGTAGCCTGGGGATTTTTATATTTTTAATAATTAAAATGAACTACACATCCACAATTGTTATGAATGTAAACTAGATTTTGTACCAAGAGTTAAACTAAAAATGTTACACAGAATTAACTTTCTGATGATTTTCTTCTTCCAAACACTGAGTTTGTAATAAATCACACACATTAGATAAAATCTTGTGAGCCATTCGATTCAAGCTTAGACAACCAAGTACGATATTTTTTCATACATTTAGACTTTAGATAACATTCAAATATGCAAACTGAAAGAAAACTTCAATAATTCCTTTGTGGCAGAGTTTACAGGATAATTAGTAATTAACTCAGTGTAACTGCTACGGATAAATGTACTTTGTACTTAAGTTTTGTGTATCGCAGTATTCTGGTTCTGCCTCAAGGTCATTCTAAATGTCACACGGGTATTGAGTATTTGAGAATATAAGTATTTTTTCGGGTGGACTTTCGGTATATTTTAGTCTTGTCGGCACACATCTGCTGTCATTTTGATCAGTCTCCTGTTTGTCTGTTTGGGAAATTAAAAGAAATACAGAAACGTCCCACTTAAACCGCAGGTTCCTCTGCTGTGGATCATTGGATTCAATTTAGAAACACCTCGATGGAATAATTTAAATTTGAAATGAGATATGTTTGGATTCTCAAAACAGCTTTAAATCTTGAATGCTTAAGAAACTCATTATCTAGACTGTTTATCATTAATGTGTTTAAGTTTGTAATATTTAACGTCCTCTATTGAGCGAATTGAAGGTGTCACGTTAGAAAATGATTTGCTCATAACTGCATTACCACCATAATCATGTTATTGAGAGAACTGTTTTATTGAAACACATCACGGTGGAAGATGTTGTCCAGGCAACACAAGAATCTCACTCCAAGATAACTCATTATAGTTCCTCAAGAATCATCCGACATCATCCGTGTTACAAGTACAACGACGTACGTACTCACATACTTTGCTTCCTGTGCACAGGTCTTTTCACCCTCACGGGGGTCAGCATCTATATCAAATACTCACACCTAGCCATGGAGGAGTTCCAGCAGGTGGTGTCCCCAGAGAGCCTGGCCCACGTGGAAGTGTCCTTCGGCTGGTCCTTAGCCACGGCTTGGCTCTCCTACAGCCTGGAGGTGACCACCGGCCTGCTGCTCATGCTCGCTGCCCGGATCACGCAGCTGAAGGGACGCTGTGACTCCGGCGTCGCCATGTTGTAGGGACTGACGTCAGTCGACGCCCAAGTGAATTCGAAAACTCCTTGACGTTGGTATTTATTTATTTCATTTTGAAGCATTAACACGATTGGGGGCGAGGTAGAAAATTGCAGGTGGGAGCTGAAATGTCTTTGATACAGAAATGTAGAGGCTGCCTTTCATCCTCCCGGTGTAATTCACCGTTCATTGTCCCTGTCCATAAGTATACATCTTCCCACACAAAGAGAAGAACCCCTGCTTCTCAGTTCTGTGAGGCCATTCCATCCACATGTGCAGCATGAGTAGCTGAGAACATTGTCCACCCTTGATTCAGCCAGAGCGCAGATGTGTTATGAAGAATGCTTGAAAAAAATTCACTGAAACAGAAGTGGCTTTATGGGATCATTTCCTTTTCACACGTGCCATATTAGATATTTTAACGGTTCTGCACCAGATAACGCCCGCACAATGGAGTGACCCAAACTCTATATCACAGTACTGCTATAGTGTCTCATATTTCATGGTACTGGTGTTCCATGTGTTGGAGAACATTTCAATTTCACACCAATTGAAGAATAAGTAGCATTTAGTACAAAATTGAGGCAATGCTGGCTGGTGACCTCAATTGTCATGTTGTGCTTTCTGCTTTCATGTCTATCTATCTTACTGGTAAAAGCATTTATGACTGGTAAAGATATATGTGCTCTTGGGGATTCTGTTTTCAGTGAAACAGAAGATATGCACATGTTGCTGCATGCTCTGCTGCAGTTAGAGATGGATATTGTAATGTGTTGTGGTCTTTCCTTACAGTAATATGCTCTCAAATGCTCTCAAAACTGAACTATATTGCTGGCAGAAAAGCAATTGAACATCAATTCATGTGAACTGTAAATTCACAGCAAACAGTAAGTAGGCAACAGAGGAAAAAGCTGATCAAATGCAAAATGTAAGATTTTTGTGTTGTGAGACAATATGATCATCTGAGTAATTGTGTTGTCAGTCGTGCACTTTGTTTTTTACATATTCTCTGTATATGAAAGTACAACATTAAATGTTTTGTACCTACCCACAGTGCGTTTGCACATCCAGAGTCCGACCCGAGGAAAACTCCTTTTCTCCAGAATGACAAAAGACTGCTTGAGAATTCAGAAATGAATGACCAATATTTTGCAACAGAGGCAGCCTGCTGTAAAAAAAAAAAGTCCAAATAATATCTAGATATTGGATGGAAAATCATGGTGGTGAAGTTCAGAATATCCAAAGGGAATATGATGTTTAAATGAGCACGTCTGTGCCAGCGCACGAGGTGACGAGAGAGAAAAGAGGCCCTATAAATATTTCAGGTTACAAAGCCTCCGCAATAAGCGTTTGGTTTCCAAAATTACACTATTTTGCTTTGGGGGAAAAAAGGGGCTTTGTTTATTTGCATTTTTTTAAATAGTTACAAAATGTGAAACATACAAAAAGCAGGATCATATAAAATGAAGAAATCACAGGTATAAAAACCAATGGAGAAGTGTTTTTAGACAGAAAAATGTTTAGGAGTTGCACAACAATACTTTTTACTGATATGAAATGTGGACCAACTCTTCTCTGGACTGATGGGGGGAGGGGAGTACAAGTCTTTACTGAGGACGATCCCAGCAAATTAAAAGCGTGCTCATGTTAACCCAAACATAATTTGCCATGTGACTTGACGGGCCGCGGCCAGTGAATGAGAATCCAAACCACGACACACTGTGTCCACTCAGCGTCCTGTCCCGGTAATCCTGCCTCAGATGGAACAGACAGCGGGGAGGTATGAAGGAACAGCCAAAAGCGCTGTGGCTCGATCTCGCAGACCTGTTGAAATCCCATTAAAGTTTTATGGAACATAACGATGCAATCCAGCGTTGCAGGAGAGAACACCAAACCCGGTGCAAAGCAATAACTCTGTGGTTGGTGCTCTGGACATGACAGAGTGCAGCCACTGTGCAGTCGTTTTTTACTCAGACAACCTCTAGGCAGAATTTATTGAGGAAACACAACCTGTGAATGAAGTTGTAAATTCAGACAGGAAGAATCTACTCTTCCAATGCTGAGCTCGGAGTCTATTTCTCATACATTGGCCAATCTCTCCTAATAAGAAATTGTCGTTAGCCCATCATCTTGCCGCTGTCTCTTTTAAAGCTGATTGTCTCTCTCCACCTTCAGAACATTCACACTGCCATTTCTCGCATCCCCTGCACCGGCGCCCAATCTTCATCAGATTCACCAGCCTCATCACCTCGTCGTTCTATCAGCCTCATCAGCCACCTCCAGATTGGCCCTTTATAAGCTAAACAGATCCTGCAGTCTTGGCTCGTCCTCCTGCAGACTCTCTGAGCAGTGAATAAACTCCAAAGATTAACTTCTTTTCTCAAGTTTCTTTACTTCAGTATCAAGTCTTTAAAATGATGTCGAACAGTTGTGAATACGAGGATTGTTTTGATTTCTTATAGGAGGGTTTTAAGAGTTCAGATGATTAATATAGACACTTTCATCTACACGTTCTGATTCAGGCAATGAATTCTTGTCTTAAATCTTTTATCTCTAGTCCCGCTGGATACTTCAGCACATCACATTCACTGGATTGAAGGGCGGATATCTCCGGATTGAGTGGTGTCATAAACCAGAGAGGGATTCAACCTCTAGAGAAGATTGAATTCAAAGCACCACAATAGAATCAAATGAAGTCAATATACATTTTTTATCCCCTTTATTGTAAAAATGTGTTGTCACATGCCTCACAGCCGCCACACACCTTATTAATGAACAGAGAAAATGTTTCTGATTCAATCACATGCGGATGATTTTTGTATTTTTGAAAGTCCGTTTTTCTCTGGCTAATTATTCTTCCAATCATGAGTTTGCTTATTCTAGAAATTAGACCACCTTCTTAAGAGTGTATTAGCAGAAAAAGGTATTTTTTGAATATCTTCATGTAAACATTCATCTACACAGAAACAGAAACTAACAACGCTCTTTTTATGTTGCAGCGTTGTAATTGTTGTAAATGACATGTGGCTTGACTCTGATTGGAAAGCTTTAAAAGCAGTTGACAGAAAAAGAACAGCAAAACAATTAAATTTCTTCAGCTAGAGGGAAGAGAACTGTGGGTTTGGATATTGCAAAGAGCAATAGAGGCGGAGGGAAACGGCAAGAACGGGAACAGAGGGATGGAAACGCTCATGTCTGAATAGAAAAGTCCCGTATCTGTACAGACGTGTAGAGAGCGCCAAGAGACGGGGAAAGGAGAGAGACAGGCAGCCAGAGGACACGGGCGGATCTACTTTTTTCCTCCATCTTTCAACCCTTTCTCGTCCACATCCACCGGGTTACTGGATTCATTTCGGTGGACAGCGACAATTTGTTGCTGTGGAGACTGAAGGTGTTCTCATCTCCACAGCGCAGGTTTCTTTCAAGCGCCACCAAATTCCCAGCAGACACAGTCCATGTGAACCTGATTAGGGTAAATGAAGCCAACAAGTGGTACAAAGAGGCACTGAAGCAAATTGGAAACAGGATTTATGTCTTCCGGCTGAGAGACACGTGGCTGCTAAATGTATTCAAGACGCCAGCAGAATCCTTAACGAAATTTCCCACCTAAGCTTGAATAAACACGGACGCCCAAAAAGGGTGTTTTTTCAGTGTGTGTCAATGTGTTTGTGAATGAGCTGGTCGTCGCCTGGTCGGCACATTGCACACGGGAGAAGGAGCAGAACATTTCGCGCTTTCTTGCGTAACATATACTTTTAGTGTTTTTCAACCTGATGGACCAACCAGACAAAGGAATCGAAGAAAATAAACTTTAAATTTGAGTTGGAAAGAGTTGTCCCTTTGGGGCACTATAGGCCCTTTCAAGTTGGACCAGTGTTTAAAGAAAAACTTGACAGGGTTTGAACCATCAACCCTGCAATACTTTAGCATTAACGATGAAATTACAAAATGTTTTCATGGTTTCATTTTACAACTGCATCATTGGAATCCATTTTTTACCAGAAGAACAATAAGAATTCTCCCCAGCAGCGTCAACAACCACAAATGTACAGTAGCAAAAAAAGGTTTAGCCATGGAGCAGACTCAGGGAAACATTGGCAATTCCTTTGGAATTGTGTTTCTGGCAACCTCAGAAAAATCACAACTCACTCCACTTCTTTGGCTCCGACCTGAGGGACTCGCTAACTTCTGCTGCTCGGCAGTCGACAGGAATTGGGGAGTTTTTCAGAGAAAAAACTGTTGCTCGGTTGTTGTGGTCCATTAAACAAAACCAATTCGCAATAAGCCATGAAATAGTCCGGGGGCAACTGCAGGTAATAAGGGTCTGTGGATTTAAAAAAAAGTCATTTTAAATAACAACCAACCCGATTTGACCTTTTGTGGTGTTGGAGAAAAAGGGATCATCGAAGTTAATAGGATTCAATTCTCTGGGGACCATGAATGTCTACTAGAATTCCTCACCAATAAATAAACACAGATATAGAAAGTATAGAAAAACAGGATCTCCCCTCCATTTTAAAATAATGCTGTGGCAAGCATCGCGTCACTGCCGACCGGAATATTCATTCAGCTGAAGAAATAAGCATTTGTATTAGCATTGGGTCCAGCACCATGATGTTCTGGGGTTGTGGGTGTGGTGTGTGGTCCTACCTCAGCAGAAGCTCTGCTCAGCGCGCCATGGGAGAAGTCCATTCTTTTCTTCAAATGCATGACTTTATTCTCAATACTCACCAGCTCCAAACAAACGTTTTTTTGAACGTGCAGAACATTTTGAACATGAGCAGAAAACTTGCTTGATTCTTCATGTGTCTTTGAGGTGAATAAGTGCTGCGTGCACATTTAAGTGTTTGTATTAACGTGATGCAGAGCAATTATTTCATGCCTCTAGTACTTCTAGAGGAGATTACTACAATTCTTTATTACCACACTACATAGATAGATCTCTTAAGTCTGTCCTGTTGTTTCAGAATACTGCAGCATGTGTAGAAACAAAAATCTGTTTAATAGCTTCTGTGCACTGGCTCCTTGCTGAATCATCAATATCATTTGAAAACCTTCTCTTTGACTACAAAGCCCTAATTGGTCCAATACTGTTGTATCTTAGGGAGCTTATATAGCACCATGCTAACATAGTAGAGAGCCTTTGCTCCATAAATCCTGGGTTACTTCTAGGGAACGTCTTTGGATGCACTGAGGTCCTCTCTCCACCTCATGTCCCGTAAACGGACAACGCTAACTTCGAGCATTTCCCTGGGGTCTTTTTGCTTTCTCGCAGGCTTCCAATGGATCACATACTGTATATCTCAGAACCCCGGTCCTCCCTCCTGCCATGGCCATGCATCACGGACGTTGCTGCTTCTTTGTACGTTGCACTGGTTTCTATGGATCGTGGCTATATCGCTCCGACCACAGGGCCACCGCTACACTATAAGTCACAGCACCACTGCTGACACCATTACTGTGTTTTTTATCAATGCTATTTTACTGTAACGGCTGCGGTTATCATTTGCAGTGGTAAATCCATTATTATTCTCATTAGATGTAGAATTTGTGTCATATGGATTTACTATGTTGTAATTTAGTTCATTTTATTTGTGTGTGTGGTGCTTAAAAGAAAGTTTGCTTTACATATTAATAAATACATGCAATAAACAATGGGAGTAATAGAAATATAACCAAGAGCAGTAGTTTAACATTAAGAAACAAAACAGAACAGTCAAGTAGCATCACAGGTTAAAAGCAGATTTAAACAGCTGGGTTTTAAGTGCTGTTTCGTAATATGCATGCAGTGAGTAAGTAATTGTAATTGTTTTCCCAGATGTCGCAAAGACATGTTGATCCAACCGTCCTCCTCATGACTGGCCGGGTGACATCCTGTAATCCACTAGGTGTCAGCATTTAGTAAATCACACTGCACAGGTTTGCAAAAGGACTTCTCTGTTCACACAAACATGTATCAGGCTGCACACACTTGGGTTGAAATATCGACTATTTAACATTGTTTAAATGTTACCATTCTGAATGCAACGAGTCACACTAACACTTACTTAA